CACAGCACCTGTCACTTTGACCTGCCCCGTCTCCGGTGCTCCTCGCTCACCTGTGGCCGGTGGCTCCCAAAGGCCGGTCCAAGAGGAGAGACGGGGGCAGGGGGCACAGGGCAGGGCAGAGGGTGGGATTGGGCGGTTGAGGTCTGATGGGGAGGAATTCTAGGGGAGTGATGGGTTTGGGGGAAGATGCTGAGCTCAGCTGGGACAGGTGGATGGGAGGGTGGGTGTCTAGGGACAGGTGGACACTTGGGGCTGAGTGGGGTCAGTGCAGTCCACCCAGTCTCACCCCTTTGTCCTGCTCTGCCCCCAGGGCGCGGATGGCGTCCGGGCGCCCCGAGGAGCTGTGGGAGGCCGTGGTCGGGGCTGCTGAGCGCTTCCGGGCCCACACAGGCATGGAGCTGGTGCTGCTGACGGCTGCGCCGCCCCCGCCACCCCTCCCTGGCCCCTGCGCCTATGCAGCCCATGGCCGCGGGGCTCTGGCTGAGGCTGCCCGCCACTGCCTCCAGGACATCGCCCTGGCCCACAGAGCTGCCGCTGCTGCCCGGCCCCCCATCCCCCCACCAGCACCACAGCCACCCAGCCCTGTAGGGAGCCCATCCCAGCTTGCCCTGCCCAGGGAGGAAGACAAGGAGGAGGAGGACGAGCTGACAGAGACGGAGCCCTCTGGGGAGCGGCTGGGCGTCAGCGATAATGGAGGTGAGAGGCACGGACGTTGGGGACGGGGGTGGCCCTGTGCTTGGCAAGTTGCATGCACAGAAGGTTTTCTGGGAGGGATGGGACTTGCTTATCTCTGAGGCCTGAGGTTCTGTGGAAGCCGGAGTCTCATAGAGCCTGGGTGCCAGGCTGGCCTGCTGCCTGTGAGTCACCGTGTGATCTTGAGCAAGTCATTGTCCCTTCCTGAGCTTCAGTTTTCTTACACTGTGCTGGGTCCAACCTATGGGACTCCTGGTCTAGCCAGAGAACTGGAGACTGTGCCCTGTAGAGGCTGTGGGGTTGGGGGTAGGGGACCTCCTGAGCTGGAATCACGAGCAGAACAGGGTTTATTTCAAATCAGGATGCCTGATGTCTATGAGAACAAGATAGGCGTTAAGGGGGAGTCAAGGGCTGCCAGCAACAGCTGAGGAAGCCAAGGGAGGGAGCAATGGGCAGTTTTAGGGGGAAACTCGAGGTTGGATACTTCCCAGAGACTGGACTGTGACATTAGGGTTTTGAAGAGTGAATAGGAGTTTGCAGGGGGCTCAATAAATAGGAGTTACTTGTTCGTTTTTGTCACTCAATAGCTGGCTTCTTCACTATTGTGAGGAGAAAGCCTGCATAGGGTTAAGGGCACAGATCCGAAGCCATATGGCCTGAGTTCAGATCCCATCACACCATTGATGAACTGTGGGACTTCAGGCAGGTGGCTTAACCTCTCTGTGCCTTTAGGTTTCCATGATGTCAGGCAGGAATCATAATAATCTTATATTTCTCTCAGCCTGTATTTTGAGTGAGTTCATCCCAAACAGACCTTACAGAAGGGGTGGGGATTGTCAGGCCCATGGTCTGGCCCTGCCAAGGCATTAGGGGTGAGTTAATTAAATGACCAAATATAGCAGGCTAGTTTTTTAAAAAATATTTTTATTGATTTCAGAGAGGAAGGGAGAGGGAGAGAGAGATAGAAACATTAATGATGAGAGAATCATTGATCGGCTGCCTTCTGTAGGCCCCCTATTGGGGACCGAGCCCCCAACCCAGGCATATGCCCTTGACCGGAATCAAACCCGGGACCCTCCAGTCTGCAGGCTGACGCTCTGTCCACTGAGCCAAACCGGCTAGGACAGTGGTCGGCAAACTGCGGCTCGGCAAACCGCGGCTCGCGAGCCACATGCGGCTCTTTGGCCCCTTGAGTGTGGCTCTTCCACAAAATACCGACTTCTGCGCATCGGCCACAAAGTTTCAATCGCACTGTACGTGCATGTCCGCACATGGTATTTTGCGGAAGAGCCACACTCAAGGGGCCAAAGAGCCACATGTGGCTCTCGAGCCGCGGTTTGCCAACCAGGGGGCTAGGGAAAGCAGGCTAATTTTTAAGTTGGTAATTTTGTATGGCCCGTGAGTGATGTTATAAATATCCAAATGGCCCTTGGCAGAAAACAGGTTCCCTGCCTTACAGACTTCGTTCAGCCAGTTGCTTCCACCTGAGAATGTAACAGATAGAAACTAGATCTGTTTCTGCGGATGACCAGGCAGATAACCAGGGGAAGGGTGTTTGAGGCAGAAGGAATAGTGTTCCAGAAACCCCGAGGTTTGCAAGGGCCTGGCCGATGCAGGGAGCAGGGGGCGGTGGCTGGAGGAGGCGACCTGACTGGCTGGGCCTGTACCGCCATGCGCAGGGCTCTTTGTGATGGACGAGGATGCCACGCTCCAGGACCTGCCCCCCTTCTGCGAGTCGGACCCCGAGAGCACAGACGGTAAGTGTCCCAGCTGTCCCCATGCCCTGGTGGGGGTATGAGTGGGTGTCTGGGATGGAGGCAGGGGCAGAGGTGAAGTGTACCCCTCTCTCTCAGACGGCAGCCTGAGCGAGGAGACCCCCACTAGCCTCTCCGCCTACGCCGTGCCCCCGGCCTCAGCCCTGCCCACACAGCAGTACGCCAGGTCCCTGCCTGTGTCCGTGCCCATCTGGACCTTCAAGGAAAAGAGGACAGAAGCACGGTCATCGGATGAAGAGAACGGGCCGGTGAGGGGCAAAGGGGAGGTGGGAAGGGCTCAGGGCCTCCTCCTCCAGGAAGTCCTCAGACATGGGTGCCGCATTTCATAGGATTAATCCTACCTCCCACGTCACCAGGCAGGTTCTTGGGCCTGAGCCATGCAGTGTTGACGATCACGGCCTCACAGCGTGTCCCAGTGTCTTGTAGACAAAGCCTGCTCCCATTTCCAGCTCCGTGTATAGAGGAGATGCTGCACGCAGGCACAAGGATTTGGGTATCCCCTCCAGCTGGGGAAACTGAGGCTCAGGGGGACCGATCACCTTCCTTACACACCCTTGTCCGCTGTTCCTCCTGTTTGATCCTACATGTGCAGTTCCTGGGGTGGCCTGGGTGGGTCATCATCGCCCATCACTGAAGCTGCTGAAGCAGAGGGGAAACCGAGGCACCGAGAGTACATGTGACTTCTCCAGACCTCAGTCTGTAAGGGGCAGTGCTGGAGCGGCACCAGCTTCCTTTTGGAAGGGAGCTATGGGCTCCACGGGAGGCGGCCATGGTCCCAGATGGACCCTGCCCGAGACTCCTCAGTGTCCGCACTTACACTGGCGGGTCCAGCAGTGGCTGCCGCCCTGGGTACCGCTGGTGGGGACACTGTTAACGAACAACGTTCAAGGCCTGAGCTCTGGGCCCCGGACTGGTCTCTGAACGGGTCTTTGTCGGTGGCCTCTCAGCCTGCTGGGGGCCAGGCCCAACTCGGGGTGACAGGGACGGTAAGGGAGGTGGACTAGGTGGGGCTGCAGGCAGGATGACAGGACCCTCAGGCGGAGGCTGGCATGGAGAGGGATCCGCTCCGGCCACGTGGCAGCCTGCCCTCCTGAGCTGTCCCTGTTGATCTTCTCAGACCCTGTTTCAGAGGAGGAGACGGAAGCCTCCACCAGGGGGCGAGGTCCCTGTGGACAGCTAGGGGGTGGCAGTAGCCTGACTGGCACATGACTGGATCTCCCACCCAAACCCTTAGAGACCCTCCTGGTGCACACAGCCTGATGGTCAGCAGAGGAGCAGCACTTCCACTGTGAGAAGGAACTAGAACTCAGGGTCCAGGCCAAGGAGGGGAGAAGGGCAGGAAGGCTTCTTGGAGGAGGTGGTATTTGAACCGGGCAGGAAGGTCCTATATCGAGCAACTCAGGGTGAAGGGCCTTGCGGCTATGGACATGGCAGGGGCAAAAGTACTTGGAGGGTCCCCGGAGCCCAGGGTGCAGGCGCTGACCGCCAGGGTTGCAGTCTGAGGAGGGACACGTGGGCGCCATTGGGGGTGCTGACGCATCCATGTCGTCTCCGCAGCCCTCCTCCCCAGACCTGGACCGCATCGCGGCGAGCATGCGCGCGCTGGTGATGCGGGAGGCCGAGGACACCCAGGTCTTCGGGGACCTGCCACGACCTCGACTAAACACCAGCGACTTCCAGAAGCTGATACGGAAATACTGAGGCCCCGGAGAGAGCCTCTGGCCCCGTGTCCGCCGGTCCTACACTACACCCCGCCCCCCCAGGCCCGCCAATCGGAGTCCCATCCCTTTCAGCCTTCCACCCCCTTCTGCGCCAGGCGCGGGGCCTGTCCAGTGCTCCACAGGCTGTCGCCCCTTTTCCTGCCCAGCGACAGATTGTTTCTATTAAGGGACTGGCTTGCTCTCCAATCGGGAGTGGCTAGTTCTAAACCCTAAATGGGTGGACTCGCGTCGTTTTCTGCCTAGCGACAAGGGCTTTGCTCGCATGGCATTGGCTCTAACCCTGTAAAGAGCGTAGCCAAGGCCCAGGATTGGGTGGTGGCGCTCCACTTCAGACGGTGAATGGGCAGCTTCATTTGATTGGCTGGAGCCCTGTAAAGGTCTACACCAATCTGCCAGTCACCACGGGCCCTTCCTAAATTCTTCTACCTGATTGGGTCCAGCCTCCTGGGGGCGTGGCCAAGCCCTTCTGTGCCCAGGATGAGCCTGTGACCTTAAATTTAGGTTCTTGACACTACAGGGGCTAAGGTTTTTTTACTAAGTCCTGACAGCTGGGCTCTGGCCCCTCAGGGATGGCCCGGCCCTGCCCTGCGCCTGACACTCACTGGGTCCATCCCGTAACAGCCTGCCAATCGGAAGCCCGTCCTTCCATCCAGGACGTCCCCGGCTCCCGCCCTCTCCCCTTCCCCCACAGGTGCCTTAAAGGGCCCTTGTCCACCCAAGGTGGGGGCAGGGGCCCTCACTCTCCGGCCCTGATGTCGGGGGGAGTTGGGGGGTGGGGATCGCGAGTTGGGAGGGGCGCTCTGAGATTAAAGAGTTTTACCGCTGTTACATGAGCTTGAAATATGTTGTGGGTGTTCATTCAACGAACTTTCTGAGGTCGAATCAGCAGCATCTCATCGCTGTAAAGTCGGGAGTGGGAATTGTCCCCATTTTGCAGGTAAAAAGGGACATTCATGCGGTGGGAGTCCTGTGGACCATGACCCCCCGTCCCAGTCTTACGGGCAGGGAGGGGCTGAGTGTTGAAATCGGGATTTGAACCTATATAGTCCCAGCAAAGCCAGGACACCTCCCGCCGAGCCCAGCCCGGGGGTTTTCTGCCATAAAACAGCTGGAGGTTAGGGAACCGGTGCCCCTGGGCCGAAGGCAGGGCTGGGTCAGGCAGGCCGGTCCTCCGTGTGTCCTCAGCTACCGGCGGCACGCTAGTGGGCAAGACTCACACAGGGCTACCTACCACCCAGACACGTATGTTGTTTACGTGTATTAACTCCTTGAGTCTTCCCAGTAACTCCACGAAGTGTAAACGACTATTCCCACTTTACAGATGAGGAAACTGCAGCATGGGAAGTAGGGGTACTGTGGGGGGTGAGGGTTTCTTCGACTGCCAATGATCATTAAATGGGGAAGAAAACTCGCTGTAACTATTTCCAGCAACGGAAATGAAAATTCGCCTTCTCGGTGGAAATAGGATCTGCCACAGAGGCTCGCCACCCCCTACCGGCGTGAGCCTCACACTGCAGCCAGAGAGACGGCGGTCAGAGCGCGGAGGGGCCGCAGGGGCCGGAGGGCCGGAGGGGCGTGGCTTCGCCGCGGGTGGAGCTCCGAGGCCCCGCCCCCTCGTGCAGGGCCGGGCACTTCCGTCCGCAGAAGCACCGGAGCCGCCGGCGGAGCTGCGGGCCGAGTCCTTCGGGCCGGGCCTCCCGGGTCGGAAGCAGGGAGTGAGCGGAGCGCGGGTGAGCGTGGGGCCCAGGCGGGAGCGCGCGAGGTCCTCGGCCTTTGCCCTGGAACATAGGGGTCCCTGCTCCCCGAGGACCACCCGGGCGTCCCCTGGGAGACGGCGCGAGCCCTGGGCCAGCGAGCGGGTCGGATTTCCAGAGCTTCTGCGGCTGCAGGGAATTCCCGGTGGAGGGACGAGAGGAGGCGGGACTTCCTGTAGCAACTGAAGGCGACCTGCCACCCAAACCTCCACCCGCTTGCCCTTAGGCCGGCGCCCAGGATGGCGGGGATGGAAGCCAGGGGCCGCCTGTGGCTGGAGAGCCCCCCTGGGGGCGTGCCCCCCATCTTCCTGCCCGCGGGCGGGCAAGCCCTGGTCCTGGGCCGGGGCCCCCTGACCCAAGTTACCGACCGGAAGTGCTCCAGAAACCAAGGTAGGCAGGGGCGGGGCCCGAGCTGCAGGAGGTGTGGCCTGTTTCCGGAGCGGGAACACTTGGGGGAAGATGGACAGTCAGTTCAGGAAAGAACATACGTCGAGCCAACAGGCGGAAGTGTATGGTGCAGCCCGTCCTGGAGTTGGCAGTGCCTCAGGGGGCACAGGAAGAAAAGGCTGTGTCCGACCGGGATGCAGGCTCCTGGGGGGGGTGGGGGGGGAGCCTGTCCCGAGACCGTTGTCAGTGGGCAGAGCAGGATGCTCAGGCCGCCGAGAGCGGCGGAGTCAGGCTGCGACCCTTGTCAAGGAGAAAGCCCATCTCATGGCGGAAAGTCCGTGCAGCTGAGCAGGGACGAGTGGTAACGGCCAAGCCCCGGCCCTGCACCTGCCACCGGTTCTCTACAGAACAATGCCCGCCCTGCACCCAGGCCACGACCAGCGTCACAGGCAATCCCACGGCCCTTGTCTAGTTACTGCTTGTCAAGGGGCGAGCCAAGCCCATTTAGAAATGAGCTGCCGCCTCCTCCCCCTGAGTGGGTGCTGCAGCGCCGCCCTGTGGCCGGAAGCCGGCCGTGCGCCCGGGTAAGGAGGGATGTCAACCCGCTGGGATGCACAGCCTGACTCCACCCTCTCCACCCGCAGTGGAGCTGGTCGCAGACCCCCAGACGCGCACCGTGGCTGTGAAACAGGTACCGGTTCCTCAGCAATGTCTGGAGGTGGGGTCGGGGAGGGGCCGTCGGGAGCCTGTGGCTGGAAGGGAAGCAGGTGTGCCCACTAAAGCAGTCCCCGAGGTGTTGCCTCCTCAGCGGCCGCCTTCTACATCTCAGCTGGGTAACACCGGACACCTGCAACTTTTCCAAAGCCCTGATTGGTGGTGCACAGGGAAGAGGCAGGGCTTGGGGGTCTGATTGGCATGTAGAGAAAGGCAAGCCCTATCCTGGGTTGATTGGAGGTTGGGGGGAGGGGGGGCCGTGGAGCCGGTCCCAGCTCTTCCCTATTCCTTTGCAGCTGGGAGTTAATCCCTCAACTGCAGGGACCCAAGAGCTGAAGCTGGGGTCAGAGGGCTCTCTGGGGGTGGGGGACACGCTGTATTTGGTCAACGGCCTCTACCCGCTGACCCTGCGCTGGGAAGAGGCCCGCGTGCCAGAATCCCAGCCAGACACTCCACCCGGCACCCCTCCGGTGGCCCCAACCGAGGAGGAGGAGGAGAAAGAGGAGGAGAAGGAGGGAGAGGAAGAGGATGTTGCACAGCGGAAAAAGCGAATGCGGAAGTCATCCCCTGGCTGGGAGAGCTTCGAGAAGCTGCTAGTGTTCACCGCACCCGGGGTGAAGGCCCGGAGCAAGGTGAGGGCCAAGCTGGGACCTGAGGGAGCCACCGACTCCTGGGGATGCAGCCCCAAGCTTGCTGTGCGCCCCTGGGCAGGTCACTTAACCTCTCTGAGCCTTCACTTTTCTGAGAAATGGACCTGATAAATTCAGGGGTTGTAAGCATTGAGGGAATCGATGTATATCCGCTCCTGCCTGATCCACGGTAACCACCCTGTAACCATAGCAACAATTGGGATTATTTTAGCAGGAGCTATTATGATGAGTATTTCTTAGGTCCAGAGAGATGCTAATCCATATGCTGTTACACCACGTTGAGCCCCGTTTTTCTCACCAGTAAAATGGGGACTCCATGAAAACCAGGGGGCAGGGCCCGATGTGCAGTTAGCACCTGAGCCTTAGCTTTTGTCTCCTTTCCATGGTTGTTAGCCCTTCGAGGTGGAGGCGGTCAGGGTAGTAAATGAACTCCGTTGTAAAGATGGGGAACACTGAGGGTGTAGGGGGAATAGGAGCAGTAAAGGAAGATTTCAGGCTCTGCATCAGGCATCGGGGATGCCTCCTCGCTGTGCTTGTCATCACATAAGATGTATAGGCTCCTCTGCCTCACAGGGTTCATGTGGACCAGCCTGTGAATGAGGGGGTCAGAGGTGTCACTGTTCTTTTCTTGGTGATGCCAGGTGGCCGGCTTTGATCTGGATGGGACCCTCATCACCACACGCTCTGGGAAGGTCTTTCCCACCGGCCCCACTGACTGGAGGTGATAAGCAGGACAAGGGGGTGAGTGAGGCTCCCTCCGGGCCCCAGGTCACCTTGCACTTTCCTGCCCACCCTAGGATCTTGTACCTAGAGATTCCACGTAAGCTCCGGGAGCTGGACGCCGACGGCTACAAGGTGTGTGTGTGTGTGTGTGTGTGTGTGTACACGCGTGCGCCCGTGGGCCCCAGCTGTGGGGCAGGCTGGGGCATGGTGAGGGCACTGAGACATACGCATCTGCTCCCCAGCTGGTGATCTTCACCAACCAGATGGGCATTGGGCGTGGGAAGGTGTCCGCAGAGGAGTTCAAGGCCAAGGTGGAGGCTGTGCTGGAAAAGCTGGGAGTCCCCTTTCAGGTACAGCTGCCAGGAGGCTGCATGGGGACAGAGCCCAGAGAGGGGCCGGGTCCTGGGTGTGATTATGGGAGAGAAACCCATCGGAAGTGGCAAGTTTGGGGGCAGGGGGAGCGCTCCTGATGGGTGGGGAGGGTGGAGCCTCCTCGGGCCTGAATGTCCTGGACGGACTTGGGTGCTGGAGCGGGAATGGTGTCTGACCCCACCTGGTCCGCAGGTGCTGGTGGCCACGCACGCTGGCCTGTACCGGAAGCCAGTGATCGGCATGTGGGACCATCTGCGGGAGCAGGTGAGCCACGCCCCCCACCGCTCTCCTCTCCCCTCAAAGCCCCACTCCCTGACCAGCCTCCGCCCTCTGGGTCAGGGTCCCTGGCACCCTCTCCTCTCCCGTCGTCCCGCCTTCTCAGTGTTGGCATGAAAGGCCAGTGATCTTCAACCGAGAAGCAGGGCGGTGGTCAGTCCTCAACCCCTTCATTCGATTGATGTCCCATAGCTTCGCCCCTGCCAGGGAGGGTGCAGACGGTAGAACAGCGGAGGCAGCGAGGCCAAAGCCAGGGTGGAGGTCTGTCCGGTGCCACTGGATCAAGGGCTAAAGGGCAAGGGAGGGAGCCAGGGGGAGTCTAGGTTCTGAAGAATCTTCCAGACCAGAGTCCCAGCAAGTGCGAAGTCTGAGCCCCGAGTGCGCAGGGACAGTCGGTGAGGAGGCCCTTATGGCCGAGGGGAGGGAGGGGGGCAGGCAGGGCCGCCTGTGGACGCTCTGGGCCGGACCTCACTGGGGGAGGGTTGTCAAAAGAAGTGGGACCGGCGCCCTCTGGCGGCCGAGAGAGAACATGTCAGGGGAGCCCAGCAGGGGAGTCAGCCCAGACTGAGGCGGCCCCTGCTCCGCGGAGCCCTTGCCGCTCTGGGGGGAACAGGTGTGGGCGCTCCTTAGGCCCGTTGTCTGTCTCCTGCCCCCCCCCCCCCCAGGCCAACGAGGGTGTGCCCATCTCCATTGGGGACAGCGTCTTCGTGGGAGGTAAGGCCCGGGGTGGGGGACTGTGGCCCGCGGGGCTGGCGGTGGGGCTGATGGTGGGGCTGAAGGTGGGGCTGGCGGTGGGGCTGATGGTGGGGCTGGCGGTGGGGCTGGTGGGGCGGTGGGGCTGGCGGCGGGGCGGTGGGGCTGGCGGTGGGGCTGATGGTGGGGCTGAAGGTGGGGCTGGCGGTGGGGCTGATGGTGGGGCTGGCGGTGGGGCTGGTCGGGCCCTGAGGCCTCTGGTGTGTCCTCTGTGCCTTCCAGACGCAGCTGGACGCACCGCCAACTGGGCCCCGGAGCGAAAAAAGAAAGACTTCTCCTGCGCAGACCGCCTAGTGAGCACCCCCGCCCGCCCCCTCCCCCCCCCCCCCCCCCCCCCCCGCCCCAGCCCGGCCCCCACTGGCCTGACCTGCCCCCTCCCCGCAGTTTGCCCTCAACCTGGGCCTGCCCTTCGCCACCCCGGAGGAGTTCTTCCTGAAGTGGCCGGCGGCCCCCTTCGAGCTCCCAGCCTTTGACCCGGTGAGGCCCGGGGCTGCGTGGGGGTGGGGGTGGGGGCGGGGGCGGGGCCTCCCTCCTCACAGCCTGTCTCCCCCAGAGGACAGTCTCCTCCTCGGGGCCGCTCTACCTGCCTGAGTCCAGCTCCCTCCTGAGCTCCGACCCTGAGGTGGTCGTCGCCGTGGGATTCCCTGGGGGTGAGACGCCCTGACCCCTGACCCCTAGGAGCTCTGACTCCCCCCCCCCCCCCAGCGGCTCCCACTGACACCCCCCCCCCCCCCAGCCGGGAAGTCCACCTTCCTCCAGGAGCACCTGGTGTCCGCCGGCTACGTCCACGTGAACAGGGTGAGGTCCCGCCCCTGCCCACCTCCCTGTGGATCTGTTCCCCTTGTGTGTGCTATCCCTCCCCCCTCTCCCCCATCCTAACCCCCCCGTGTACCCGTCCACCTGTGACCTGCTTGCTCCCTGTGCCCAGGACACCCTGGGGTCGTGGCAGCGCTGTGTGGCCATGTGTGAGGCGGCCCTGAAGCAAGGGAAACGGGTCGTGATCGACAACACAAACCCGGATCCCGCCAGCAGGGCCAGGTACCAGGGCCCCTGGAGGGGAGGCCCCTGGAGAGGGGGGGGGCCCAGGGCCCCTTACCAGCCTGGCCCTTCCCAACCCCAGGTACATCAAGTGCGCCCAGGATGCCGGCGTGCCCTGCCGCTGCTTCCACTTCAGCGCCACCCTGGAGCAGGCGCGCCACAACAACCGGGTGAGTGCCCACGCCCCGCCCCCTGCGCCCCCCACTCCCCCCTCTAACCAGCCTGCCTCTGCCCACAGTTTCGGGAGATGACAGACTCCTCTCATGCCCACGTGGCTGACATGGTCATGTTCGGCTACAGGTAGGCACTGCTGCAGGTGGGCCCTGTGGGTGGGCACGGGGCTCAGGGGCCTCGCCTCCCCTCACCGCCCTCTGCCACCAGGAAGCAGTTCAAGGCCCCAACGCTGGCGGAAGGCTTCGCCGAGCTCCTGGAGATCCCCTTCCGGCTGCAGGTGGAGCCGCAGCGGGAGCGCCTGTACCGCCAGTTCTCCGAGGGCTGAGCCGCTGCCGGCCCTGCCCCCCAATAAATGCTAGTTTTCTTTCAGCTTGGCCAGCACGTTGCTGGGAAGAAGGGGGGCACTGCTGCGGGCCTCGCCCCAGTGGAGCACGAGGCCCACCTGAGGGCGCACTGCCTCTCCTGGCCGCCGGCGCTGAGGACAGTGGCCAGTGGGCTTTTAAAAGACTTTATTGGGGAAACGTACATGGATGGCACTGTCCTCGGAGACGTCTCAGGGCGCTGTCCGCCGTCTCAGGGGGCAGCTGCGGTCTCCAAGGGCCCTGCTCAGAAGCATCCGACCTGGAACGGGGCGGAGGGGAGGGACGGTCTGGGTGGGGGCTCCCAGCAGCCCCTGGGCCCCCTACTGGGCGACCTGGACCCATGAGCTGCAGGGCCCTGGGGACCAGGGATGGCCTCCCCCTGCCCAGCAGAGCCCTTTCCTCCCTTCTGCAGGGGCTGCTGCCACCTGCCACGCATCTGGTCTTGTCAAAGCCAGGGTCACACTTCTTCCCAAACCCCAGCAGGCCACACTCCACATAGCTGCCACTCACCAGTGTCACCGGGGGCCTCGTCTGTGACTCCTAGAGGGGCCCAGGCCGGGGGTGGCCACTACCCCCCCATCTGTGGGGGAAGAAGCCAGGCGTCAGCAGCGGGACGGGCCGGAGGAGAAAGGCTCTGGGAGCCCTGCTCCCGCCTCACCCCTCGCTGCTGCTGCTCCTGCTCCAGGTTCCGCTGCAGGACCTGCTGCTGGTTGGCAATGACACGCCGGATGCCGTTGACGAAGTTGCTCTGGTCGTGGGGGATGAGGCCGATGAAGATCTTCTTCTCCGAGGAGTACAGCAGCATGAGCACGCGCACCTCGCACGAGGCCTTGTAGGGGAAGTGCACGCAGCCGGCCTGGGGGTGCAGGGCAGTGTCACGGGCGGCCCTGGTCACAGGTGCCCCCACCCTCGGAGACGGCTCAGGGCGCTGTCCTCCGTCTCGGGGGGGCAGCTGCGGTCTCCAAGGCCCTGCTCAGAAGCACACAGGCCGGCGTCCCTCAGCACATGAGCCGAGCGTGTCCTAACTGCTCTGTCCTCGCGGCCCTTTCCTGCTCCCACTTGGGGACACGGAGACGGAAGCCTAGAGACGACTGTCCCAGGCCCAGCTGACTCTGCACAGAAGAGCTCAGGATGCCAGCCCCTGCTGTGGGGGCGCCACAGGGGCAAGTACACAGGACCCAAAACGGGGTGCAGCGTTCAGGGTCAGCCACGCAGGGACCTCACTGGGAAGGACGCCCGGCACTAAGGCTCCCTCACCCATGCAACGCCCGGAAGCAGCCGAGCTCGGAGGCTGGGAGGGAGGGAGGCTGCCGGCCCAGACCAGTCAGGGACGAGGCTTCATGTAATAAGGATCCTGGTGCAGAAGGCACAGGGGGCCACGTGCTCCCCACCCAGTTCCCTGGCTCTTCCCTGCTCAAGGCCAGGGGTCGTCACAGGTCAGCCAGCCCAGGCTGAGCTCGAAGACTTGCAGGTCCCCAGAGCCTGGAGGGGAGGCCTGGCTGTCACCGCCTCTGGGACAGGAGGACAGGGGGAGGCCCGTGGTGAGCCGAGCCCAGTGCACGCCCCTCCCGCTGCCCCTGAGCCAACAGTGATGACAGACGCACCAGTGAGCGGGCGGAAGGCCAACCTGGGCACACGGGCCCTGAGCTCTGTGCTCTCCACTCTCATCACAAAAGAAACGCACAGCAGCCCCCAATACCCAGCCGCACGCCTGTGGCAACGCCAGCGACTCGGAAACAGGTTCCCCATGTGACAGACGTGGGAACAGTGGACAGCGACAGCGAGGGTGCAGGCGGGCCGTGGGGAGACTGAGGCCCAGTCCCACCAGAAGTGCCGCCTGACTGGAAGCAGACGCCGCCCCGCCTGGCCAGGGGCCTTCTGGAGCCTGAGATTTTACCCTGGGAACCTGGAGGGAGCGTGCCCGCCCCTGGGAGAGCAGGAGGAAGGGGCAGCGAGACCCTGGGAGCACAGGTGCTCCGTGAGGTCACCCCAGAGCTAAGTAAACGCAGACGCAGCAGAGGGGACAGGCCAGCGCGGGCCTGCGGGGCCCCTGCCCGGCACCTGGGGAACCAGGTTCCTCGTCCGTAAAATGGGTCAGGACAGCACAGCCTCGGGAGGCGCGTGGACCAGGAGCCTGTGCGTGGCTCACAGCAAACGTGACATCGCTGTGGGCTGCTGCCTCCCCAGCGGCTCTGCAGACAGCCCCTCGGTTCATCTGTCGTCACCGAAACGCCCTGTGCACCTGACTGTCTATCCTGCACTCGCTCCCGCCCAGCCGCCCACTCACAAAGCCGTTGTCCATGATCCGGCACAGGCTCTTCAGCGTCTCCAGGTCCTTGGTGAAGTGGAACTGCACTAGGCGGGAGTTCCGGAACAGCGGCACCAGGGTGGTCTGTGGAGGGGGTGGGACCATCCACAGCTGCCCCGCCCGCCCCGCCCCACATGGTGCCCGCTTCATCCCCACAGGCCTGTGACCCCCCCCCCAAAGCCAGGCCGGCCTCTCCGGCACCCGAGCCTGTCAGGAGCCTCCCTCCACCCAGCAGGCCCTCCTCCAGCTCAGCTCCCACGCCACCCCGGCCCCAGGTCCGGCCCCGAGCCGCCCGGCACTCACGAGCAGCTGCTGCGGGATGAGCTGCATGTACAGCTTCCTCGGCCACTGCTCCGTCCTCCTGCGGGCACCAGGGCACCAGGGCACCAGGGTCAGGAGGCCGGCCTCGCCCGGACGCCTCCTCCACCCCCAGCCCCACACTCACAGGATCTCGCCCTGGTTCACGTAGACGTGCGACGGCAGCCACCTCTTGGACCGACTGTTGGGCTCAGGCCTGGGCTTTGGGGGACAGGAAGGGGGGGCATCAGGAGTGGGAGGGGTCCTGAGCCAGGGGGGTGCGCGGGTCCCCAAGTGGCCGGCCGCCCGCCCCAGGGCTCACCTCCTGCCACTCCATGACTCCGCTCCACGCCAGGAACTTGTTGTTGACAATCTGCACTGGGCCCGCAACACCACCGGGTCCCACTGCCTACAGGAGGCGGGGCGGGGTGTGGGCTGGTGCCTCAGCCCCCCAACCTCCCCTCCCTGCCCCCGTCACCTGGGCCCAGCCTGCCCACCGCCTCCCCCCACAGACCAGCCAGGGTTTCTCAGCCTCCAGTCTGTCCACAGCCCCAGGCACTCCGAGAGCCGGGCCTGTTCCTCGCCTGCTCTCAGACCTCCCATGGCTCCCACGTGCCCAGGACAAGTGCCAACCCTCAGCCGGGGGCACAAAGCCACAGGGTTTGCCTGTAAGAACCGGCAGCTACAAAATGTCCCACACCCGGGGACACGGGAGAAGGGGACATTGGTAAGACGCCTGGTCACCCTGCAGGGCCTCCCAGCCTCACCCTACCCTCCATGACCAGTGTGCCCTGGCCTGCCCCCACCTCCCTCCCTCTCTACACCTCCTGGGAGCCACTGTCGTCCCTCCCGCCCTTCAATCTCACTGGCATGAGACACCCGGGCGCACCTGCTTGCGGGTGGTGATGACCTGCCGGATGGCGTTGACGAAGCCGCTCTGGTCGTAGGGAATGAGGCCCATGAAGATCTTCTTCTTGGACGAGTACAGGAGCATGAGCACGCGCACCTCACAGGGGGAGATGTGGGGGAAGAGCATGCAGCCCGCCTGGGGGGAGGTGGGCAGTCAGGGACCCCAGGGCACTGCTGACGGGGCGAATGCCCTTCCCTGACCCCACGCCTGCCCGCCATGGACAGAGGTCCATGAGCTGACCCCCAGGTCTCAGTGTGAGAGGCATGCACCTCACCCCCACCCTGAGTCAGGTCAGCCTGGGACCCACGTGTGGGTGTGGGTTAGGGGTCTGTCCCCCACACCACGTCTCAAGCCCGCCCCACGGAGCTGCTGAGGTCGCTGCCTGTGCCAGGGCAGCTGCCAGGAGGGCCAGCCACCTGCTGCCTTCCAGCTGAGATCTAAGGTAAGTTACCGCGTGTCTGGACCCGACTCCCCGTGAAACCTGTGCCAGCAGTGCACCCAGGAAATGCCCACAGTGCTCCTTGCCCGAGATGCCAGTGCCCTCTCAGTGGACGTGGGGGAACGTGAAGCTGACATGTCCCCACTGGGGTGCCGGACAAAGGGGGGAACACCTCCCACAACCCCCCGCGCCACCTGCCTGACGTCTGGTCCCCTGGCTCAAGCCCACGGCCCCTCCCTCACGGGACCTGCCTCTGGCCTCCCCGACACCTACTAGGACAAGAGTGATGGACAGGCCTCAGGGTGACGCCCACCGTGCCTGCAGCCGGGGCCAGGCACCAAGCAGGCCCTTCGAAGGCATCAGACAGGAGACCCACACGTCACCCCTGGCCTGACCAGGCCCTGAGGGAAGGGGGCCCACCTGGGCATCGGGGTCGGGGCACACACGGCACCCGGCCCCCCTCCAGGGGGTGGCCCATTCCACAGAGGATCAGGGGGACGCAGGGGACCCCAGAGCCGAGCCCTCCGGGCTTCCTGGGCAGAGGACTTGCTCCCACATCAGGCCACACCCCCTGGGGAGGGTGCTGCTCACACCAGGTCCGGGTCAAGTTCAACTCCTGACATCCGGCGTCCACATCCCAACACGTCTCAGCAGCTGGCCGTTACCGAGCACTCACTCTGCCCGCCAATCACCCACGTGACAGACCCCGCCTCCCAGGGGCCCCGGGAAAGTCCTGTCACCCACTTGCCGGGTGAGAAAGCCGAGCCCCAGCACAGACCAGTCCCTCCCGGCTCACTCCCGTCACCCCTTTCCCAGGCCCCTGGCTCACACCCGGGGAGCCCGAGGCGGGTGGGCGCCTTCACTCGGCTCCACAGACGGGCCGAGACCTCAAGCGAGAGCGACTCCCCAGCCCCTAGGAGAGCTCACCCGGGGCCCAGCCTCGGGCTGTCCCAGCAGAGCCGTCACCAAAGTGCCCGGGGGAGCCCCTGCCCCCCTCAGCCGCCCCCGCGCCGCCCACTCACGAAGCCGTTGCCCATGACGCGGCAGAGCCCC